AAGAACAATGGAATCTGAGTCATTTCGAGACAATTGGTGGACATTTCGCAAATGAAGCATTTACTTTATGATTGTTAGATCTTATTAACAAGTCCTGTTATGTTGTGTTAAATACATTCAATTGTCCCCACCCGTGTTCTGTTCACTAGAGTGGTACTTATGTAAACTGATGAAAATAGAGAAAAAAATTACTGACTATCATTATTGTGAATAAATCTTGATCTGAGTAGTGAATAATTAGATAATATCATGACTTATACAATTAAATTATCAATATAGAATTTGATATTTTATTTAAAACTTATATGATGAATGTATTTTTAAAGATAAGAAAGTTTAATGTCTAACAGGATAGAAAAGAAAACTAACACTATTGGCTAAATTCCTTCAATAATCATTTTGCATATGAGAAGCTGAATTAGGAGAATTATGATATTCTAAATTATATTTTCTATAAGAAGGTTTTAAAAGTGGGTTGTTTAGTCTATTCAAATATGTTTACGACGATTAACTGTTGTATATTTTAAGTAACGAATTATAACTAATAATTTAGCATCTAGCTTAACTTGGCTTTTTATGTTGTAGATTTCTTGGGCTAGATTTTACATGTCGACTTTTTTTGTCGCAGTAATCCTCACATAAGAAAATTGACATCTTATAGTTCATAATCAAGTACTTCAAATATTATGGTAGGTTAAACAAGTATGTGATTATTTTAGCTAGAATTAACTGGAGGTTGAACGTATGTAATCAGTTCGTCACTATCTACTATGAGATAACTTATATTTTAGTTCAGCTAGCCTTTGTTAGTTCATCATGTCTATTTAAATCTGAAACCAGACAATATTTAAATCCGTTAGTTCAAAGACTTTCAGGTGTGATTCATAACGGAATTCGGCTTTAGTCATACTACAGCTTCTAATTCACTTATCATTAAAGATGAAGAAGACAATGAGAGCACTGATTATTCTGGCAGAATACGATAGAACGACACTCTATGGGTTACAATTTTCCTCGTTAAATAAATGCCCCAACTGCATACATTCGTTGGCATGTTTATAAGACTTCTAAGACAATAATTATGTGCGTGAGCTTCGCTTTTGTGAATAACCCCATTCTAATTTCTCCTTGTCATTCAGCCTTTCATACAACTAAAAAACTAGCATTATAAATTAACATGATTTATAACAAACACTCCACACACTATTTTTTTCGATGAATTTATATTCTCTGGGCTAAACTGTTTAGTCATAAAGTTCACATTGTTTTTCCAATCGGTATAATCAGAGGAAAGTTTAAACGGAAATGAGCTATCACAATTTATCTACTAGTGACTGATATCTAGTACTGCCAAAATTGTATTCGTTATTATTACTTATTATCCATAGCTAGAATGTATTTCGAACTAGTACTCTTATTGGTTTGTCAAGGACATGAGTAGAATGATATTGAGTCTTAACATTTTAGACACAGTTAGGCTTAAATTTGTCAACAAGGGAAGGTTTATTAAGTAACTTTCGTTTAATGCTCTTTGGTTCTGCATTTCAGTAAAGGTGCAAAAATGATAGTTTTAATTATTAAAAGTACATTATACAGCAGGTTAATTTAGCATTTACTTACAACCATAATTTTTATTGGGCTAATCAGTAAAGTTAAATTTTGTAGTTTATTACGATATAATAAAATCATTTGGTAAAGAGATAGCCTCTGATGCAGATTGGTACAAGCTGAATAATATTCAGTAATTTGAAGAAATTAATAAAATTTTAGACCCCTAACAAGTGTACATTCATAATCCTAGGGAAAAACAAATGTAAAGCCTTTAGTTTTCACCTTAATCATGAGTCACTGGACATAACTCTAATGACCTGGATGATGTAACTCAACGAGTTATGTCTCCTTTAACTCTAAGCCTTCAAAGTCGTAGCTAGCCTATTAAAGTTTATTATCATGTGAATGTTTTTTTCAAAGAAGTATGCTAACATCACTGTGTTGTAACTGCAGCGAAGTTTTTGATACCAATCACTTTGTGGATGTGTCGCTCAATTTCGTGGATTGTTTGATGTTAGACATTAACACCGTAGGATGTCGGGTCAGTGGTCTGGAGGTTAAGCGCTCGCACGCGAGAGTGATAGGTCTTGGGCTCGAATCTCTCAAGGTGGGGTCGTGAATGCGCACTGCTGAGGAGTCCCATAGTAGGACGAAACGGCCGTCCAGTGCTTCCAGGTTTTGTATGGTTGTCTAGCTTCAATTGACTCAATTACTGAAATTACCATACTATCCAAAAAACCCCTTCTGATAAAAAATAAATAAGTCATTCTGATTGATTGTTCAATTGTGGTATTTCACAATTTGTTGTTGATTTTTAAATAAAATCAGATAAATTATTAAAGAATAAACTTGTTTTAGATCCAAAAGTTAGACAAGTTTTTTAACATCAGTCATCATTTACATTATACACATGTCAATTTTACTAGGTGATCGTTTCGCCAGTTTAGCTTCAAGTAGATAATGGGAGAAAAAATACTTTCAAGTAAACATGACAAATTAAAAACAAGTGATATAAAAGTGTATGATTACAAGTAGTGTGATGATAAGGAACAACACATCATTGGTTCTTAATGAACTTCATTTTAATGTTTGACTAACTGTTTTTTTGTACAGTCACCTTGGTTATATCAACCATATGCCGGTAGAAGTCTTTGTTTTTTTTATTAATATCGGTATCTTCGTCTTTTTGTGAACAATACTGTTTTGAGAACTTTGCGACTTGTCAAAGTCTAGTTTTTTCAGAGAGAAATATTACTCTTCTATAGATCGATAATGTATGGTGAATGAAATGAAGAATTTTTATATAAAAGGAAAGATGTTAACCAAAGTTGAGTTAAAATGCGCTTCTATATGGATTTGCAAGATAAGGAGCGAGATTGTAAAAACTTCTTTTGAGTACAAAGGTTAGGTTTGTGGATAAAGAATTCAACAGCTTATGCAGTATGCAAAAGACGACCACGTGGACTATGTGGTAAACTTGATGGAATACGATGGACAACCTTAAAAGCTTTATTATGGTAAACTTAAGTCCTGTCTCCACCACGTGATAATTTTTACCTTTCCTTTGCTCAGCTAAGATGGAAAGGTCACTTTCAAACAGATCAGTGCGCGTATCTGTTAATATATATATTTTTTGAAGTAACATTCATAAGTTGTTTTGAATACTATGATTTACCAGATAGTGGTCAGTATCAAAGTTCTATCTTCAGACAAGTTGATTCGTAGCTATAAAGGTCATTTTAAATAATCATGACCTTATCACATGATGTACAATTAGTTTTTAGTTCTAAAAAAGTTTAAACTGTTTTGGTTAGTACTTAGAGATCGTTTGCTTTAAGGAATTGGTTACTACATAACATTTATCAAAATGTGTAACTACAACTTGTGTAGTTATATTTTTCTGAGTATAATCAAGGTGAAACCTAACTAGTTTATAGTAACATGCTCTCATTAAAGCTAAATTGTAATAGGTGTACACTGTCTAATATTGTCGAACTATAGTGAAATAAATGGTTAGAATAATTCAATTTTTAATCAGTTTTAGCTACTGTTATCATTTCAGCGGTTACTTTTTTCCTATATAAGTAAAGAATCATCGTTTTATAAAATAATACATCAGAAAAAGGAATATTTCTGATTATTTTAGGTTCTAATACGCCCAAAATACCGTTTTATTAAAAGGTCATGCAGTATTACCTGGTACTTTTCTGTAGTTAATCATTAGTTAAATATTATATTGAAATGTATATTGTAAAACGTTTCATGGAATGTGTTTCTATTGTTCCTATTATCACAATGTCAAGTGAAATCATGACACAACTTTAAGCCTCCATTAACTGATACATTTTCACCATTGAATCTAATCTAAGAAAAAGAAGCGTTTAAATTTAGAAATGATGTTTAGATAGAAGCTGTAATTGTAAAATTTCCTGACTTTTAAAAGATTCAAAATATATTTCTATTTAAATAGTTTAGCTGTGGTTTCATTGAGTCGCTGTATGAAATGGTTATTTACCTTAGTGTATATTAAATAGAATAATTGGTTTAGATGGGTCTAAGTATATAACCTTAAGTAGTATTAATTTTAGTTGTATATTTCAAGTTTATGTTAGTCATATTTGTTTGGATTAACTACAGATCATGATAAATTCTTAATTTAATACAGTGAATTTGTTAGAATGCACAATGAATTTGATAATTGATACTTTTAAACAACTATTGAAAATCTTTATTCCAAAAGCTAAAGTAATGTTTTCATCTGATTCAGATACTTAGAATATACCATCTAATGATGTAATTGAAGGAACTCTCAATGGCTGCATTTTTTTTCTTAAAATATTTTGTGCGAATTAATATTTTCGTTTTCATTGGTGATTTGCTTTTACGGTTGTATATTTCACTTTTAGAACTCGGTAGCTAAGTGGATAACGCGATGGCGTTTGAAGCGAACGGTGTTGGGTTCGAGTCTCAGAGTGAACACTAACTCTGAGATGCAAGTACATCCAGCTGACGAGTCCCAAATAGGAGAGAACACACGTCCTGGATTCCACTTCTAGCCACTATATTTCACTTTCCTAATGTATAATATCACTGATGAATTAAGTTTTGAAGTATGTTACTAATAACTGTTAGAGATTATTAGAGTAGATAATAGCATATTCCTTTTGCTCATATCCTAATTGACATGTTACTTCAAAAAGCCATTTATTTATATTCAAATTATCTACTGTGAAGTGAGAATTTAAAACCTAGATTCACAGCTTGTTCCTTCAATTATCAAAGATAACTGAGTTAGAGTAGTCAAAACAGGAAATTTTAATACTGAACAGCAATAAAAAGTTTGGCGGATGATTTTTTCGAATAGAAGTTTTTTCACTGACTCTTAACTGGATACTAAGAGTACATAATAGTCTGGAATTTATTCATATTTTTTTAGATTATAGCATAAAATGACAAGAACGAATTTATTCACATTTGGTGTCCCCAAGATTATATTCTATATTGGGTTATTATGTGGATGTATATTAAATGAAACAGTAACAGATGAAACAATTTACAATTATGAAATACCAATCAAACCAAGAATATCTCATCGACAGAAGCAGTTGCTAAAGTCAGTCCATGTGCCAGAGATTAGTTTTGAAGTTTATGGAGAATTTCCAACAATTAAGCACTTTGATTTATTTGAAGATGAGATAACTTCCAAATATCAAAAAATGTCACGATTTCTAAATTTACGAAAAAAGCGTGACTTACAAAACTCAGAGGAAACTTTTTTAAGTGGTAAGACATATTACTTTTTTTGGAAAGATAACTTTGTGTTTTAGGACTGGTGTGATACCTATACTAGATAATCTAGCCTAAACACCCTTTATGTAATCTTCCGTAACTCATCTACGATTTGATTTGGTCTAACTAAGTGAAGTTCAAACTGATTTAATTAATATAGGCGTATACAAATACAGTTCTAAGCTTAGAAATCATGATCGATTGTGTTAAATCTTTAAAAGTGAGAAATGATTTCGAATTTTTACAGGTGCTTACCTATATAAGTTGTACTGACTTCAGCGACCGACCTATATGCTTGAATAGGAAGATAGTCCAATGTTCTTCTGAACAAGTAAACTGTTAATCATAGCTGATCGTACCATGTATACTTTAAAAGACTGATATTGGTCGCATTCACTGTAACAGTACCCTTGATATAATATTATTTATGCAAACATCCCAACTATAACAGTGATTGACTAACTTGTCATTTAATCTTTATGTATGCGATAAATGTGATAAATAATTCTTCCATTAAATAGAAAGACATTTAACAGTATTATGGATTGAGATAAGACACTTGGAACATGGACCTGAATAAATAAATCTTCGTGAATGTATATCTGATCAAGATGCTCTTTGTATGCATGTCTATAAAATAGTTTAAACTATTTTGATGTAGCTTCACTTTCATAGTCCTTTTTGATAAATATTATAACTATTCAATAGGCAAGTTAATATATCACTGATATTAGATCAATATAACTGAAATATTACCATCATTCTGATGATTTCGGTTTGTCTTTTTAGATAAACATTCAGTTTTGATTAAAAGTAGAATTCATTCTCCATTGAAGAATTGGGATGATAAATTAACTGATCCACAATCTAAAATATACAAACTGTTATCAACTAGTTATTGTGAATTTGTAAGTAATATCTGAATAAAAAACTGGTTTTAAAATATTTTGATTACTTAATAACTAGATAAGAAATTTAATTATTTCTTTTGATAAAAGTTATAGAGTAATTATGAATTACGAATATTCTATGTAGTCATAATGAACAGAGTAAGTACACATTTTGTTAGTAAGAAAAGCTGTGAAATGTTTAGACAAAATTAAATGAAAAACATCAAAATCGTACATCATGTTATCGAATTGCGATAGTTCTCTGTATCCGACTTAAGTTCATTTGAATCTTATGATTTTAGGGAAAGAGTGATTCCTACGAATATATGACAATATCTTCCACACATACGTCTTAAGTTAATAATTCTAATTAACAAACTGTTATAACTTGTGAACCTGTGTGCCCTGTTTATTGTATAACGCAACAATACCGCCAATCAGAGAGCAGCGAATTATCGACCGAACCAGTGACGCATAAAACACGTGCGAGCAACCTAGAGTCCGGATTAGTCTCGCTTCCTGTCTAGCCCAGCCAGTTAAGTCCAGAACGCCAATCTCAGCCTCTGTAATATGAATCATTAATTTCAAACATACTCGGTTTATATATCAACCAGACAGACCACAACGTACCATAAAATATGACACAACATTTGTACAGGAATTAGCCAAAAGTGGCTGTGAATGAGGGAGATAGTAATTAATAGACAGGCCATAACTCAAGAATGGTAAATCGTATAGTAATAGTCTATGGTTCAAATTAAAGCTTATAATAAGAGCGACATGAATATGAACAGTTTAGTTGCATAACAATTATATGATAAAAATATACGTTTAGTATTGGTCCATAAATGGATCCCAAAAATTACCATTCATTATTCTTATCGGGATATAACACAAACTGTATAACTGTATCCGTACTACAGTTCACTCGGAAGATAGTTAATGTTGAATTAAAGTATTTAATATTAAATTCACTTAATTACTGCGTATAACACAGATATTAGTGTTAGGTATTAATGGAGACTGAAATATTTACTGGCTTCACTTTTTAAGATTGTCTTATAAAAAACATTCGACAAACAAATTTCATCATTTCCATTATGTTTTACTACGTAACTTATTTCTTTCCACAAAAGTTGTTTAATAATATTCAATCATTTTTATTAACTTAGGTTTATTCTACGATGGTTTTATTCAATTTTCAATTAATATTTTTTTGTTTAAAAAAATAGTTACTACAAAGTTTTCGGCATGCGAATACAAGTCAATTTAAACAACCAAAATGTACGTTTATAGAATTCACAAAAGGTTCTATTATACTCAACGCAATACTAACATTTAACAAAGCGAATTATTCACTATTATCTTCACAAGATCTATCAAATTTATTGATAAAAGGCAGTGAAGAATTAATCAATTCCATAATTAATGATAAAAATTTTTCTCTAGGATTTAATTTTAATGGAGATTTTTCATTAAGATGTAAGTTTTACTGGTTTATTTCTTTGTATTTAATATAAGTGAATACTAAATGGATAGAAAAAACTGTTACTATCGACATATAGAATAAAAAAATACTACTTAACTAATAATTTACTTGTATTCCATATACTTGATAAAATGTTTTTCTGTTGAATTTATTTGAATAGGCAGTGTAATAGCAAAAGATTAGTTGTAAGGGGATACAGAAATTAAACAAAATATAGTAATACAAATGAATTTATACTCTATTAATACATGGATCACAGTTATTCTTCTTATCCAGCACTAACAATATAAATTTAATACTACAATCAGTTATTTCAGTCCCAATGATAATATTGTAAGAAACCTATGTTAATATTGTTCAGAAGACAAACAGACTGGCTGATATTTTAGAAGTGAATACAATATTCTTTTCGGATTCTTTTTAATCACATGACATATAAGAATGATCAAACGGTATCAACTTTAGCATTTCTTCTGAAGTCAAGAATAATTCATTATTATCATACCACACAGTTATTGTGGAGATTGCTGATTAAATATCATCAGATACTTTGGTAGATTCAGGGTAAATGATTTCGAAGTATTAATGTCTTATTCCTTGACTGAAATAAAAGTTTTGTTACTGTATTAAGTTTAAATCTGTTCTAAGAATAAACTGACTCCAATTATGTATATTATTTAATGTATTTTGAGGCAATTCGCATCATACAGTTGTTAAATAGTAAGAAACCTAATGTTGTCTAATTACCGCGGCTTACTGAAAGATACTAATCAAGTTAGTGATGTAGTCCCCACCGTAAACTAGTTTAATTTTAGTTGGTTGGAAACAATAAATGATCTTGTAAATGTTGATGGAACTTGGCGTCTGACTCTTCTAACTTCGATGGATAACTCTGTAAATAAGATAGCACGTTTGTCAAGTACAAACGTTTCTATTTGTCAGTCAACGTTTTTGTTAACATCTGACGGAAGAACAAATGAATATTTTCTAATCATAGCCTTTACAATTTTAGTTACAGTTAAAGATCAGTGGAATAATCACATGCCCTCTTTATGACATTTTTAATTAGAAGTACCTGACATAAAAGGTGATGCGAGTTCGGATACATTTGCGTTACTGGATTGGCTATCGTCAGTGAATCTCCTGTGAGAATCCCAAGCAGGCCTCGACTGTTAGTTGAGAGTCTGAAGAATGGTACAAATTTAGAAAGCAGTGTTGAAGTTGCGATATGGTTTGTGATAACCATTAAATTTACAGCTAGGGCCAAAATTTGATAATGAAATAAATTCTCCTTATTACTTTGTTTGTCCCATCAAAACCAACCACATCCAGGAAACACGTAGTCAAATTAATTTGATCGGTAGTGATGAAGAAAAATTGCATTAGATTATTATCTTCAGTCATCTGATACGCGCAAAACTCATCCTTTCAGTTCTCCGTAATCCCCTACATTTCATAAATATAAGTGTACATATTTCTAACTTGGGAGATTAGTCTTTGAGAACATATTGAAGACATATTACGGATTTGGCTGGTTTTAGTAAGACTGGTATACAAAGTGTACAACTTTAAAAGCTTCCACCTCTGGAATAAACGGAGGTTGGACAATTTCAAATTTTGCGTCAGTTAATATCCGGATTCATGTGTTGTTGTCGTAGATTGGGAAGTTCCATTAATGATTGTGATATTGAAGGGATTAGACAAGAGAAGACGAAAATATTTTTAAAATGGGATGAAAAACGTTTTTTATGAAAAAAATACAGAAATCACTGGGACATAGATACCATTCCAACTGTTATAAGGAAGATTTGGGTCTAGATTTCATACTAGATAACGTACTCCTTGCCTTAATAATGTCAGAACCTAAAAGAGACATTAGCAAAGATGGTTGATTTCATAGTTGACTCAAAAATTAGTAACAAAAGGTGATTTTTTCGTTTGTTCAAGTGAATAGTAAGTATTACGAAATGCGAAACGCTGATAATGTCACTGTTATCTGTCTAAAGAAATTTCGTCCATCTAAGCTTTGAATATTTTTTGAATCCATACTTATAACCAAGTAAATATAATTAAGTTATGGATACTAGATAACCAAATTCATATATTAAGAGAGCATTTGGTCAATAATATGCTGGATGAAGTCTTATTGGGCAATTAGATACTAAGAATCATTTAACCAGTCAAGCATAAAAATGTTTATGAAAGAAAATGAGATTAAATGGATGTAACCATGACTAGTGAGAAGAAATCGAATGTTTTAAAAAATATTCAGCGCACGGCTAAGATGATTTATTACGTTCAAAAGTTTCTTTGTGTAATCGTAACCAATGTTATAATTAGTACGACTGAATAATTGGGAAATATTTCTTTATTTCATTTGTTCTCTATATGAAAGGATATAAAAATAATTATTAGTCATTAATATTTACTTAATTTATTGTTTAATTAAATTTAGTGACTGAAATAAAAGAAGAAAGTACTGTATTACTTCCAACATCACAACCGCTATCATCATCATCATCATCACCACTTTCGATCACGACGATGACGACAACAATAACGATGGCTGACGCAAATGAAATGTACTCATACATGAGGAGTTCTATGGATGAAATTCAATCAAGTGGTATGTTTACATAATCTTATTACAATATCACTGGTAGTTAGATATATGTGAATTAACTTTCATCTATTTGATTAAAAAAAATATACCCATTAAATCACAAAAGAATTTATTCAGCAAAGGTATCCTTTATAACGAGTTCTTTCTCAATGCTGTACAACCGTATATATGTAATAAATTCTAAGCCAATGAGTAGTGGCATATCTCTCGGAATTTGATTAGGTATATTGTGAAATTAACCTACATCACTTGAATGGAGGAACTTTATGAAACTTGTTTGATATCTATTCAGCTTATCTTTTTACGTTCAACCATACTACTTTTAAATAGTAAGTAGTTCGAGTAATTTCTACCATTTTTAATGCTTGTTAACTGTGGCAAGTGGGTGATTTCTGATTCTCGTCAAGGCTAAAGAAAAATTACCACATTGAAGGGTTTATTAATATCTGTGTAAAAAACTTATGGTTTATTGGGGAATGGTAGAGAACTAATGAAATTAGCCTATTATTTACAAGCATGCCTAACTTAACTTTTCAAGTACTTATCAGTGAACATTTTAGGATCCTTTTAAAACGGTCTTTGAATGAATACAAATTATTGATTGATTTCTTTATGTTTATGTATGCTATGTCTTTTAGTTACTGACTTCCTAATTTGTCCGTTCTTTGCAAGAAGAAGTACAATGTAAGATAATATGTAAAGGGCATTTCAATTTTCTTCATCTTACCTAGCTTCACTTATAAAATCTTGCTTCAATACTTTTTCATCATTAACATAGCCAACTAGATATTCGCACCAGGATAAAACTTGATAGTGAGACACGAGTTCGACGGAAACTACACGACTTTGAGGCATTTTTATTCAGTGAGAAATTTTGTTGGTATATTAGATTAAATTGTTTATCCAGAAAGTATACTTATTTTATATCTTTACAAAACAATCAAATGAGAACCGGAAAACACTAGGCAGCTGTCTTGTCACAGTGTTTGACTCTCCAACAGCCCAAGTTCACGATCCCTCACACAAGACTATAACCTGGGAACATCAAACTCGCTCAAAACCTTAGCCTTCAGGCTACTGAGTCGGTAACTGACGGTGTTAATGCCGAACTATAATCGATCCATGATTTTGCACAACCCTTTATCGATTGTCTTCGGTGGGTAACTAACTCACACTCGACACGGATTAGACTCCACTGGTCATGGTTTCTTAATAGAACTCCGGAAAATCCACTTTGAAGCTAGTCACGAATAAGCACGTGATTACTATCAGAATGTGGATTTGTGTATTGGAGTATTATCCATGTTGGGTGAAGACAGTTATCTACCTAAGACAATGGATGAAGAGCTGTGCAAGATTGTGAGTCGTTTGAGGCTAGACATTAACACCGTTGGATGCCGGCCCAATGGTATAGAGGTTAAGTGTTTGCATGCAAGGTCAGAGGTCCCAGATTAAATTTCCGCGTGCGGGATCGTGGACACTTCTAAGGAGTCTCATACTAGGACGAAATGGTCGTCCAGTACTCTCGGGTTTTCAGTGGTGGTCTAGCTTAGATCGAAAAATGAGTTGAACCATTAAAATTATTATTCTCCACAAATCCCTAATCTGATTACAATCAAATAAATTTTCGTGAGTACTACATCAATGTCTGGTTTGTCCTGCATCTTAAGATCATTTGTAGATATATGAAATGAAGAATACTTCAATGATCATAAAAATTCGGTACGTTGGGTAAAACTGTTTGGTGATTTTAAATTGAAAGATAAATTAATTATTAGAATACATTCACAGATCGTTTCGTTACATGAACGTTATTATTATCTGACCAGTTAATTATTCTTTTTATTCAGATGATCAATGTGAATACATAGTAGTCAAATTACTAATAAGTTGATATAGAAATTATTTATTCATTGTTTATTAAAAGTTATCTGTATTTTATTTTGATTTATATTTGATAAATCAAACCTATAAATTGAATGAGAAATTTTATTCAAAGGAAAACAATAATATTTATGTTTTAATTTATTTCAGTGAATTTTAGCAGTGATTTTATGGATACAGAACAATCATTGGCATCAGCATTATCTTATGGTGAAACCATAGATACAACAACATATAGTGTAGGTAGGTTCATAAAATGTTACTATTTATATGTGCCTATGAGTGTTATATTGAGGTCTCGTAAGGTTATTTAAGTTATTTATGTTTACTTTGATAATACACATTGTCAATATTAATGTAAGATGTGATGTAAAAGATTATTAACTTTCATGGTGCTAGAATCAGCTGTTAAATTGGTATTGTGTTAAATATAAGACAATGCGCAAGGGGTTCGATCGTTTTGTCGTCCATCAGAATGATTCATCAGGAACTTCGCATTTTTTTCTTGAGATTCAAGTTCTGTTGGTTGCAAAAATATTTCGTCTCAAAATGGTTTGATTGCTAAAACGTTTTGGCCATATTCATAACTAGTTAACAGGATAATTAAACTATATTCACACGACTTGTGATTTCTTTGTAAGCAAAACTGTTAGTCATAATCCAATTATTTATTGAATGTCCCACAACACCTTAAAAAAGTGAACTAAAAAGCCATTCTGTAGTGAACAGAACGCAGGTAGGGACAATTACAGTTACCCGGTAAAATAGAAAAACCAAATAGTAAATCGTTAATTTGCAAAATATTATTCCATCATATCAAACCAGACTGTTGCTGTTGCAATCATCAATCCATTGTCTCACATTTCATTGTTCATGCGTTTTCTTACAAATTGCATTGTGCTTCCACTCTTCCTTTCTTGATCTTTCCCTATCTTCTGCTACCAGACATTACGTTCTTTAACTCGCGTCACATACTACTTATATCAATATAAGTAGCACACAGTAATTAAACCTCATTACCTAACAATATTAATGGTAGTGCTGTACGGAAAAGGTAAATCTTATAGTTGTTTTTTTCATGGAAAACCTAATAATATAGAAATAAAAGTCAAACACATACTCAGGTTATTATTAATTAATTTAGCTCATATTTCAATATATGCTTTAAAAATTCAGTTCTGACTAATCAACGTGAGAAACTACAGTCCCTACTAATTATCAGCATCATTTAACAATTTATAGTTTTAGCTCTTCATATGAGTATAATACAACCACCATACACTTTCATCAACGAGGAGGATATGATAACATAGATGAATATATAGTTTGTGTAATTCTATGTATAAAACTGCACACTACGAATGTGGATCGTTAAATCTTGACTCGATGGTATAAATGAATAGTAATAATCGGGATATCTGAAAGTTCTAATTTTCATTCTGCCTACGGGTGTTGACAGACATCCTTTAAAACTAATAAACCGGAAACCAAAAATCTGTATTTTGTTCCTCATTTACCAATAGTTCTCTACTTAATGCAAACCCTCAATTAACACTGACTTCGAAAATAGATAACTGAATCCAGGTTAAACGATGTGTTTCTATGTTGTGACTAAAAAGTTCTTATAATATACATTCGTTTGAACTTCAGTGTCATGGTATCGTTTCCTTAGCTAATACCTTTCCTTAAAATTCGTGAATCCTAGAAAACATGACCACTATCAAACTTATTCAGTTGAACTAAACATCCCTGGAACTCCGCCTGTAGCTCTTATAGGGTTGCTGCCGGTCCCAAGCCCGGGTAAAGGAGGAGGGTTTGGCATGGGGTTAGCGTCCCCATCCCGTAGAAAACTAACTCGCTAAAAAACGCTTACCAGAAAAAATAATCCAAACCGTTTTAACTCTGCCCTGGGAGTTAGAAGGTCTTCATTTAGAAGAATTATGACGCTTCATGGTGAAAACCGAGTTCCTTCGGAAGCCACGAGGCCGATGCCCCTTCTGACAACCAGAGCAAAAATTTTTATAGGTACATGGAACGTTCGAACAATGTGGGAAACCGGGAAGACCAGTCAAATATCAATGGAAATGAGGAGATACAACTTAGCAGTACTGGGAATCAGCGAAACCCACTGGACCCAAGCTGGACAGAAAAGGCTAGCTACGGGAGAGATGCTGCTATACTCCGGTCACGAAGAGGACAGTGCTCCACACACTCAGGGAGTCGCTCTTATGCTGTCCAAAGTAGCACGAAATGCACTTGTAGGATGGGGATCTCACGGATCCAGAATCATCAAAGCATCATTCAAAACAAAGAAGGAGGGGATCTTAATGAATATTATCCAATGTTATGCACCCACCAATGATAGCAACGACGACATTAAAGATCAGTTCTACGAGCGGCTGCAGTCAATCATTGAGAAATGCCCAAGAAAGGACCTCATCATTCTGATGGGAGATCTAAATGCCAAAGTCGGAATAGACAACACCGGATATGAAGATATCATGGGACGACATGGACTGGGAGAGAGAAACGAAAATGGAGAAAGATTTGCAAATCTGTGTGCATTCAACAAATTGGTCATAGGAGGCACAATATTTCCACACAAACGTATACACAAGGCTACATGGATCTCACCGGACCACACTACAGAGAACCAAATAGATCATATTTGCATCAACAAAAAATTCCGAAGGACAATGGAAGATGTGAGAACCAGGAGAGGTACTGACGTAGTTTCAGATCACCACCTAGTTGTAGCCAATTTGAAACTGAAGCTAAAAAGAACTAGACAAGTGGACAAACAGCAATACAAAGGTTCAATACAGCCTTCCTTCGAGATACTGTCAAACTCAATGAATTCAAGATAGCTCTCAACAACAGGTTCCAAGCCTTACAAGATCTACTGAAAGAAGAAGAAACTACTATGGAGGACAACTGGAAAGGCATCAAGGAAGCATTAACTTCAACGTGTCAAGAGGTTCTCGGTCTAAAGAAATACCATCATAAGGAATGGATCTCTACAGAAACACTGGACAAGATCAAAGAAAGGAAGAACAAGAAGGCAGCAATTAACAACAGCCGAACACGAACAGAGAAAGTCCAAGCACAAGCTGAATACATAGAAGCAAACAAACAAGTGAAGAGGAGCATTAGAGCCGACAAGAAGAAATACGTGGAAGAACTAGCAACGACGGCGGAAAAAGCTGCAAGGGAAGGAAATATGAAACAGCTTTACGATACAACGAAGAAACTATCAGGGAAATACAGTAAACCAGAGAGGCCGGTCAAAGACAAAGAAGGCAAGCCAATCACTGAAATTCAACAACAGCGTAACAGATGGGTAGAATACTTCGAAGAGCTCCTGAATAGGCCGGCTCCAATGAATCCACCGAACATCGAAGCAGCACACATAGATCTTCCTATAGATGTCAATCCACCAACTACGGAAGAAATTAGAATGGCCGTCAGACAAATCAAGACCGGGAAAGCAGCGGGACCCGACAACATACCAGCTGAAGCACTGAAATCAGACATCGAAGCAACCACAAGCATGCTTTATTTTCTATTCAAAAAGATTTGGGAGGAGGAACAAGTGTCGATGGACTGGAAAGAAGGACACCTCGTCAAGATTCCAAAGAAAGGAGATCTGAGCAAATGTGAAAACTACAGAGGCATAACACTACTGTCAATACCAGGGAAAGTCTTCAACAGATTGTTGCTGAACCGGATGAAGGATGCAGTAGACGCCCAACTTCGAGATCAACAAGCTGGATTCCGTAAGGATCGATCGTGCACAGACCGAATTGCAACACTACGGATCATCGTCGGACAATCAGTTGAGTGGAACTCATCACTGTACATCAACTTCATTAATTATGAAAAGTCATTTGACAGTGTAGACAGGAGGACGTTATGGAAACCTCTTCGGCACTACGGAGTTCCTGAGAAGATTGTCAATATTATCCGGAACTCATACGACGGACTACAGTGCAAAGTAGTGCATGGAGGACAGCTGACAGATGCATTCCAAGTAAGGACCGGAGTCAGAAAAGGCTGTTTACTCTCTCCCTTCCTCTTTCTTTCTTCTGGTGGTCGACTGGATTATGAAGACCTCAACATCTGAAGGAAAACACGGAATACAATGGACAGCTCAGAATCAATTAGACGATTTGGACTTCGCAGATGACCTAGCCCTCCTATCACGTACACACGAACAGATGCAGATGAAGACAGCCAGTGTAGCAGCAGTCTCTGCATCAGTAGGCCTCAGCATACACAAAGGGAAAACTAAGGTCCTCAAATTCAAAGCGGAGAACAGCAATCCAATCACACATGATGGCGAAACTCTGGAAGATGTAGAGTCCTTCACATGCCTGGGAAGCATCATCGATGAACAAGGAGGATCCGATGCAGACGTAAAGGCGAGGATCGGCAAAGCAAGGGCCGCTTTCCTACAATTGAAGAACATATGGAACTCAAAACAACTTTCAACCAATATCAAAGTAAGAATCTTCAATACGAACGTCAAGGCAGTTCTACTGTATGGAGCTGAAACTTGGAGAACTACAACAACCACAATCAAGAAAGTACAAGTATTTATAAATAACTGTCTACGCAAGATACTCAACATCTATTGGCCGGATAACATCAGCAATAGCCTTCTGTGGGAGAGAACAAACCAACTTCCAGCTGAAGAAGAAATTAGGAAAAGACGATGGAAATGGATAGGACATACATTACGCAAATCGTCAAACTGCATCACGAGGCAAGCCCTAACTTGGAATCCTGAAGGGAAGCGAAAAAGAGGAAGGCCAAAGAACACATTGCGTCGGATAATAGAAGCAGATATGAAAACGATGAATTACAACTGGACGGAGCTAGAAAGGATTGCCCAGGACAGGGTTGGGTGGAGAATGCTGGTGAGGGGCCTATGCTCCCTCACGAGGAGTAACAGGCGTAAGTAAGTAAGTAAGTAAGTAAACATCCCTGGTAATTATTTTTTCAATGATTAAATAATTCGATTCACTTATGGCTTCAGAACAATGTAATTATATGCAGAACCGATGGAATGTTGTTAGCAGTGGAACTTAAGACGCTTGTTTCGTCCTATATGAGACTCGTCAGTTGATATTCGCTCCGAAATTTGAGTCCGGTACCTTTCACTTCGAACACTAACTCGTTCAGATAACCACTCATCTGTGAGAAAGGTATAAGACTAAACCAGTGTCCTAGGTTTCACTGGTAGCTAAATTCATCAGTTCCATGTAACCTTGTGTCATAGTGGCTATATTGTGGCGATCCACAGATTATGCATTGATGCAAACCAAGAGTGACCAAATTTGAGTCAAAATATCATCAAAGGGATAATCCAAATCGTTTTCAATTAAATTAATTACATATTTGCTCTCACGTATGAATATGGTTGATGAATGAAAAATAAATGACCCAATCCAGTGCATATTTATTTTTAATCATTTCTTTTTTAAAGCTTTGAATTTTACAATTCAAGGAACTAATAGTTCACTAACATGGGATGATGATCTACTGAACACCACTTCAACCACTTATCAAGAACTATCTCGAAATGTTTGTGAACTAGTAAGTAAATTTTATCCTTGGAAATATTAGTAACATTTAGTTTGTTGCGATGACACGTTTAAGCGAAAGTACTGTTTCGTTGTCAGTTTTTTTCCCGACACACCAGTCAATTTTTATAAAAAACACTCATCTGAATTTAACTAGACAGTATTTATATATATTTATGATCTATAAAAGGGTTACCAAATATCTAAAATGCATATCAATAGTGTCGATGTACTTCTGTAATAATTTTTGAATTTTAAGTAACCCTAGTTAAATGTTTAGCAATTTTCAGATGTTACTGAAATACAGCACACTAAGTAAATCAGCTTTGATTCTTGTACATGTTGAGTATTTATTTGATGATTACCTATGAAGAATAACGCCCGAATAATTGGCCTAGGTCAAATAAATTACGCAACTCATCTTTATGGAGTATTGCAAAACTTTTAGCTTTTATACAAATCATAAACCAACCAATGTTAGACCACCACTCATCCTACTGCGAGATTCCTGAGCATTTCGCGTCCACAATCATGTGCTCACTAGTGACTGACTTCAAGAGCTAATTTTTGAAGTTCTAGTGGGAATCCATGACCATTGAAGTCCAATCCGTGTCGGGTATGAAGCAGTTATCCCCCGAGGACAATACAAGACGGTTGTGCAATATCTTGGATTGGTTGAGGTTAGACATTAACGTCGTTGGATGACGGCTTAGTGGTCTAGATGTTAAGCGTTTGAGTGATTCCAAAGATCCTGAATCCGGGTCCTTTGTACAGGACATAATAGTATGAATAAACTTGAAGTAACCTTTTAGTAGTGACGCACTATAAAAACTATAGATTTTTATGTTAATTTGTGAAATACAGAATTAGTGGAGAGGCTGTCTAATTTGAGTAGTTTGTTTAAAGGAATTAGTGTTCTCTGCTAAATAGTAATGTCATGATTTACTACTGTTCATAACTCTACGGTTTGAAGATCTTAGGGCTTTAATTAACACAATTAATACATGTAAAACGAAACAGAAAAACATTTCTCAGTTACATTTACCTTTCATGACAGTGAATCTCAACGAAGCTACATCACTTTAGAGCTCAAAATTTCTATGGATTTGAAGAATATCGGGTGAAAAAAATTGTTTCATTTTTCAGTATTCAGTTATGGAGATTATTAAGTTGTGATCAAGATTATTTGTGACTTTTTACAGATTTACGAATAATTGAAGGGTAAAATAATAGAGCAATTCATCCTTAGCTAAAACAGAATGTAAAATATTCTCATTTTAGTGGTTTTATTCGAGTTCAATACAAAGTTATTTTTAATAAAACTTCTGTTTGCAAGAGCCTTGTAAACGCCAATAGAATATCAGACAATGAAATTTTAACCATTATTTTAGAACTATAATTAAATAGTTACACAAACGATTTTGTTGTGTATATCAAAAGTGGGTCATGGTAAATCTAAAGTCTTTATTTAAACTAAAACTCAATTGAGTTATGAGATTTAGACTCTAGGTGTAGCAATGTATATTTACGTTTAAACGATAAATAGGGATGGAAAATATATTATAATATTGTTAATCAATCTCATCATCATATGATGAGACCACTGATTTTTATTGAGGACTAGTCGTTGGCTCAACTCTAATGATTATTTCACAACCATGAACCGTCATGTGATTCAGTTATTATGGACTAACCACTCTAAACTGTGTATAGAGAGTAAGTGTTGACCATTTGCTTACCTTAAACAATTCGATCCAATATTGTTATTGCTTATTTGTTTTATATTAAGATTTCGTAATCTAAATAATGTTATCCCTATTAGTGTTATTATTCTTTGCTACACATTTAACTAAATGAAATAACAATCAACTTACCTATCAGAGTTAACAAAGATCAGCCCAAATCCAAGTGATAAACTGCTATCACAGTCTATTCATCAGTTATTGTCTTTTTATTGAACCTCGAAAGTTTACCAACAAATTACAAACTTGAACAGAATTTCATTGGTGACAGAATAGTTTCTAAATTGAAAAAGTCTTAAAGTGAAATTGTTACAAAGCGTAGCAATAAAAGAATATAATCTATGGAAAGTAGATAAAATAATTAATATTAAGCCATTATTAGTGACATTACTTCACCTTTACGTAATATGACAATTATTAGAACAGTGTTTCTGACTTCAGGCGCATTTAGGTTATCTAGGAACACTTAATTTTATATAAATAATTCGATAAGCTATAATTATCGATAATAATTCATTCATATGCAAAGATGGGTAGTGTCTAGTAGCGGAATCCAGTGCGCGCGTCCCATCCTATATGGGACTCATCAACTGGATATACTTGCATCTGAGTCGATGATCACTCTGACACTCGAACCCAGTACCGTCCGTTCCAAAGGCCATCGCGTTATCCACTTAGCTACTGAGTCGTGGCAGCCACTTGCTTGTGAAACGGGGTGAAGTTTAAATTCACTTGGTATTGTTTGTTTGAATCTTTCCATTGATGTTTAGGGTGCAATTGACCAGTCTCTTACTGGTATATGTGCATACTGTGCGTATTGCCTTAATTTACAAGCATTATAAGCAAAGATTGATAGTGGCTAGCAGTGGAATCCAGAACGTGCGTTTTCTTAAGCGAACGGCACTGGGTTCGAGTCTCAGAGTGAACATCAACTCTGAGATGCAAGTACATTCAGCTGACGAGTCCCAAATAGGATAAATGCGCGTCCTGGATTCCATTGAGAGCCACTATCCGTCTTTGCTTATAATGCTTGTAAATTAAGGCAATATCGAGGCAATACGCACAGTATGCACATATGCCAATAAGAGACTGATCAATTTCAGTCCTAAACATCAATGGGAAGATTCAAGTAAAACAATGCCAAGTGAATTAATTAATCCATACATTTTAATAAATATCAGATTACAAAAGTTTTGTCTGTTGACAGAATACGTTTTTATGTTTTAAATGAATCTTTGAACTTAAGATATACATTTTATGAGTGATAATAGACTGAATATTATAGTTTATTACCAATGTGTTGTTCGGTTCCCATTCTTAAGAAATGCCAAATATTTTTTGATTAGTCATGAGCCGACCTCTGATTAGCTTACTGTATCAGCTCTTCCTCCTGCAAGAAATACGTTTGACTGTACTAATTAAACAAGGTGATGCATCAATTAGTGTAGGGTTAGATTCGTCGCCAAATATATGCAAATCTTAACAAATATTTCAATAAACGGTCCATAATTGCAAATTAGATACGATATTCTATATAAGAAGTATAATTTAACACACCTGCGATACGTTATAGTTTCTTATTTGACTTTATCATGAGGCTACATGACAGTTACGGACTAACATAAGTGTGATACTATGTTCAGATCTCTTGGAAAAACTAATTTCACCAGTACATTATAAAGAAATACTATATGAGATATTGGACAAATACTAAACAAGTTAAACTCAAGAAGATCCAGACATAACTTCGACTGATAACTCATATATAAGTCAGAAAGCGATACAATGAAATTTCCAGTAGTGAAATTAGTTTCACTGTAAACAATATGATGTTCAGTAAAGCAAATAAAAATAGATCAAGTACATCACCCTCAACTAAATCATTTATTTGTGATCCTTCTGTTACATATGGAATATTTAGTAGATATATTAAAATTATTTAAAATAATTAATAAACTATAATTATTTTCTAAGGAGATTCATAAATTTTAAAATAACACTGTGACTACAATGCGTTATTTACACCCGAAAATGTTTTGAAAATAGAAAGATGTAATTTGAATAATCCGATTTCTATTTATCCGTTGATATTTAGTGAACAAGATCACCAGTGGGGACAATCGAATGTGTTTAACACAAAATTACAGAACTTGTTAATAAAATCTAACAATCATAAAGTAAATGCTTAATTTGCAAAATGTCCATCACTTGTCTCATAATGACTCAGACTTCATTGTTCTTGCATTTTCATACAAATTGCATTCTATTTCCATCCTTTACTGTTCGATCCTCTTGTTTCTCTGCTGCCAGACCTTCTGTTCACGACTAATATCATCTACTACTTATGTCAATATAAGTAGCACACACCACAGATACAATTCATACGGTTTCACTTAAGTTTCTAATATCCGACTTTGTTAAAAAGCAGTATGTATTGTGTATATAATTTAAGAGTTATTTATCTAATAACTTATAAAGTGCTTCATCAAAATTCTTCAATTTATTGTTTTCTAATTAAAGATTAATTTCTTAGTTTTCATATGCTAATACTTAAAAACTTGAGTGATGTAACGAGTTTTTCCTGTGAGTCGTTATGGAGATTACAATGAGATACGACTGATTTGTTGTATTCTAAATAAGTTGTTATTGTTTTTTGTTTTGTAATGGAAAGTAATTAATATTAACAGAAAGAATTAAACGAATCAGGCACATCTAGGATTGGGACAAACACTGAAACGTGATATATTTAAGTATTAGTATTAATTTAAGTAAAACTATGTGTTCACTAATGGCAGTTATATTTTTTTATTACTACAAAAATCGTCCAACCAAAAAAGCAGTCGGTTTTTGATTGATTACTTTTACTAGTTGACGTCTATCAGCTTCAGAACGAAGACCTGTAGTAAAACACAGTGTGTTATCGACAGATGTTAAGAATCTTATAATGGTTCCTGGAAAACTGTAAAGTTCGATGATAGAATGTGTTTTTGATATGAAAACACCAGGAAAATCTGTCGATTGTCGAAAGTTGTTCTATCCCAAGCTACTGACAACGAAAAATGTGATATTAACGTCAAAATATGTAAGGTTTGAACCACGTTTATTGTAGGACATATAGGAGTATGATATTCCAATGATATTCTTTAGTAGCATCACTGATGATTATTATCTGCCTTGTACACCAGTAAGCTGTCGTTAAAATCCTAAGCATTGAAACCAGACTAAGTCTATGTTTAAGTCTACATTTTCTTTGCCTATTAATAGACAATCAAATGGATTTAACCCATTGTCCATTTTTGTCGGTCTCTATAAGGCAACATGCAAATGACAAAGGAAGATTCACTAGATATAAGTTCAATGATTTAAATAAACAAGACACGGAAAAGGAAATTTTACAAACGGAACAAGCTTTCATATAAACTGTTACGTCAAACTGTTGGAAATAATGTAAACAAACTACATGCTACTTATTTGCATCATGTTAATTACGTGTTCTAATTCAGAGAAAGAATAAATCCCACTTAAAACGATTAAGTGTGAGCAAAGTCTTCATAAGTGAAAGAAAGTTCTTAATAAATATCTATCCTGCAGATTAAAGTACTCAAAAGAATGTAAAAACTGTTATTTCACAGATATATCTACTGAGAAGTATATTCACTTATTTAATATCGATAAATATTTTTAAATAAAACTTTCAGCTTTTAGCAGCTATGAGATCAATTTTATCATCTCTATGGATTGTTGAATGTGGTACCATAAAATTCAGAAAAGGGTCCATTGACGTTGATGCTGAGCTTATTTTAATAGCGAATTCATCATCATTTGTTACAACACTTGAACCTACATCAACTGTGTTAAATGATACTAATATAATCAAAGGAATAAATGAGTATGTTTCAACTGTGGATCAAAATAATACATTTGGAATTTACATTGATCCAAATTCAAGTATCTCATTATCATGTAAGTCATTGGAAAAATTTCCAAAAGGTAATATATATATATATATATATATATATATATATATATATATATATATAAGTCTATATTTTTTCAATCGCATTCGAGTTGGCTGCACCCATTTACCTAGATCTGCTATTTTAGATCCTCATAATTTGAAATAATACACTGTATTTTATCTATACTGTGAGGTAAATTATATACGATATTTTAAAATATCATATTACCCTACAAAGGCGATACCTGTTAAAATGAATACATTATAAATAATTAAGGAATAATAATATCCGAGGGGAAATTAGCTTGTTGAATATATCAGCAACTTCTTGAAATTTTGGGAATTTTTGATAATGAGGCTACACAGACCACATGTTGAATTTCTTACCAATTTTTCTGTCAAGTAAATATTCTGTATAATAAAGTAATGATTTACAGTTGATTATCCTTGTTGCATTGTTCTGTCTTACTGTGCTTTACTTTTCTTAGTTTAGTCCTAAAAGCAATAGAGAATATTTAATATTTTTATATTTCGAGAATGTAAACTAAATTTATAACACTACAACAAAAGAAAACCCATCAATCAATAAATTAACAAGATCTTACGTTGCTTGCTCTTAGTATATAAACTTTAGAAAGAAGGCGGATTTTATCTCTACCTAAGTTTATGTCAAGGTCTTTGTAAATACTAGTAGATACTCCAAGAACGATCACTATATAGGTCTAGTCATTTGGTCGTATTATCTACAGTTATTGTCAGAACATCATTTCAATATGAAGTGATAACGGAAGCACAAATGTGTTAAATGCATAAATAAATTATTTTTGATAGGTGGATGAACTCACTTGTTGTTAACAAACTTAATTAACGGTATATTTGCTTTTTATAAATAATTTCTAAATTCGCGATAACTGATTAACAAATCCTGGAAACATTAGTTGAAGTAGTTAGATATCAGTTTAGTCGTTTATTCATCCAGAAAATATTATTTGTGCATAATAATTATTTGTTCTCCTTACACTACATTTTTTGTCGAGGTCAATGTTTGACATCTAGTTATGCTTAAATTAGGTTACTCTTCATAAAATCTACTTATTGATAGACTAAATAGGTTAAAATTATTTGAAATAAAGGTCCGTGATTATTCGCACATGTACGCTATGGTGAATACTACAATGGATTGCAAATATTTTCTCATTTACTGCAAAAATGGGAGTTACTGAATAAAAATATGTGAGCTATTCCAAAAGACGAGAGTATGATTTTCCCTGAAACATTAGAAAGCAAATCAAATGATACTTAAAATAAGAAGTTATTTAATCGATAAGATTGTGTTATGATACATTATTTCTGAAGCTATATATGAGCTATTTTGTAACAATAAGTATGTTCCCCTGGTTTAGCGATCTCATGAAGGATTGATAATATGCAAGTGAAACTAAGAAAAGTTTTGTACAGACAAATGTGAGAAATATGGTTAAACTTCTTTATTCATTTCATTTCACAAACAAAATGAATTGTTGGTAAATTTTAAGAAAGCACCTCAATCAAATGAAATTCTTATTTACTGGTGACAGTTAGCAAACATTTAGATGAGCCATTTAAATAGATTGCATAAGACCATATTCTTGACTGAAATTTAGTTTTCATCCCTGATAAACCAAGATATTTGAATTTTCTGTCATTGAGCTAATTTGAAAGAATTTGTGCAAAGCAACTGTTTAAATCAGATCGATCAATCCAAGTGGTGATAGGTTACTCTATTGAGTTTGTATTGACATTATCTCAGTTACCCTCCCTGTAATCTACTGATCTAGATACAGTTCATATTTCAAAGTTGAATGAATAATCGTTAGGTAGCCATACCAACTAAATAAGTCAAAGGATTAATCGAAAAAATGTTGACTCTGGGAGTTATTTTAGCACGCTTAGAGCATAACCTGTCAGGAGTACATCCAGACTATTTCAACTGAGATAATAATAACTTAAACTACGCAAACTCTGCTTATCCATCTGAGTGAATGACACGTGGAATTGTGGTAAGTATTTTGAAAATTTACAATTCCAAATGAGAAAAACATAACTCAGGAATAATAAACATAATAAATAAATTTTTTTTATATCTATATGAGTAGAAAAGTTGTAATTCCTACATTTCGTGAGTTAATGTAAGCCACTTGTTCAGAGCAAATGAATAACCATATTATGGTTATTTAAACTACTAGGCTGTTCGAACTCATTCAGTCAGAGTTCGGTCAAAGAGAAGTGAAATAAACGTTTGGTGTTAAGAATACTTCAATTTAACAACTAAGGAATGTTATTTAAGTTTTTTATTTACTTACTACTTGACATGATATCATGATAGCTTTCATGTGGGTGTTCTTGCAAGTGATATATGGATATGTACATAATCAGTGGTCTTAAATTAACTAACAGTTAAATATAACATTTGTATACCTTTATCTGATTTATTTCTTATATTATCCTGTAATCGTTTACATTGTTTAGTGATAACGATAAGTATGGAATCAACAATACCGTATGACGATCAGGTTATATCTGATGTCATATCATCTGAAACATCTTCGTCTTCAGATTTCCCAGTTAGTGTGTATTCAACAAGTACAGGTTAGTCATTGTTCATTTAAAATAAATTAATTATTCATAGTAAGCAGTTTATCAGATTAAAGGTTTGATGATTCATGAAATTGAGATCATTACATAGTAAAAATCAGTACCTGGCTTCTGAAATAAAAAATATCAAACTCAAAGGATGCAAATAAGTTGTCATTCTAATTCTAGGATACAAATCCTTTTTGTTGAAGGCTAGATTACTCGGCTCTTAGATGAAGAAAAGCAATGCAGATTGCATGATGAAAGAATTTATACGTTAAATTACACAACAATAACTAATCAATAAATCTCAACATGTCACTATTACTTCTTCTATACTACTGAATTCAATAGTCAATCATTTAATTAAATTTTGCGATGTCATTTGGATAAATTGTGATAACTTATTATTCTTGTTTATTGTCAATAACAATTTAAATAAAACATAATACTTCTGAATTATACTTTTCACTGCAAATGGATATTTTAAAAGACAATCGATTTTTACCAAAAGAAAACCTAAATCAAACAGATATCCTGTACTTTTGTTCTATTATTAACTTTCTATGAAGCATAATCAGCTTATCAAACATGAGTTTCTTGTGATTTCATGACTATTTCTAACATTTATTATCATGAAAATCAATAAATTCTAAGTTACTATAAGGCTCATTCAACCGGTGAAAAACTAAGTTCTGTGTGAAAGGTTTCGAATTGTGTTCATATTATTATTATTATTATTACTCTTATCATTATCCTTATCTCCTTTTACCCCGTTTCCAGTCTAGTTGACCTTTTATTTTCATATATAAATGCTCTTAACAAGTATATGTGTGATCAGATTGTTCGAAATGTATTGCGCTAATACATCACATAGTTCTGATAATCTTCGTCCTCTAATTACATTATCGATATATATATATATTTATATATATATATATAATGTTGGATGGTGTACTAAATAGTTATTACATTTATTCATAGTTCATCTAAGAACAAAAATAACTTTCCAATATGAAAGAATAATTTACATAGACTGAGCAATAATACACTCATGTAATTAAAGCACAATACCATATGAAATAATTAGAACAAATCCTTAAAATTTCATAAATCATAGCAGTAATTGAGTTATTATTAATAACTAAGTGCCAACAAAGTTTGAACTATGACTCGTTGAAAAAGACTAGATTTATATAGAGAAGTAAATCATTACAACATAAAATAAAGAAAGTAATTAGTCTGAACGTATTCAGATCTGAAATAACATCAAATACAACTTACTTACTTACTCACGTCTGTTACCCCTCGTGGAGGAGCATAGACCGCCTATCAGTACTCTCTATCTAAACTTGTCCTATGCAATCCTTTCCAGCTCTTTTCAATTGTTATTCATTCTTTTCATATCTGTTTCTATTTCCCGACGTAATGTGATATTTGGCCTTCCTATTTTCCGCTTCAGTTTCATGATTCCAACATCAAATATATATTTAAAAATATTAACTATGATAACAATAAAAAATAAATACGCTTAAGAACACAAACGTAAACTTATCAGAAAGTAAAGAAAGAATAAGTGAGAAGTTAAAATAAAGAAGATAACAACAAAAAACATATAGACAATGAGGGAAATAGCAAAAAAAACTTTAAAACGTAATGAAATTCATTCAAAGTGAAGTACTGGACACAATGAATAACATATTAGATATTGATTAAATATTGATTTTAAAAAATGAAAGAATAAAAATCTACAAAATTCAAAAACGCTAAAATTAACTCATTAACAGAATGTTCCTTAACCTCAAAAAAAGGAAGAACAAAAACGGAGGGAGAATAAGAAAACTGTTCGGAAAAATAAGGAAGAAAACAAAACAAAACGGAACAATGAAAAACGAATTGATGAAGCAATCGAGAAGGAAAAAACACTGAAAGAAGTAGTGCAAAAACGAAATAAGCGAGATGAAATTTAAAGTCGAAAATCTTTAATAAAACAAGTAGAATGATTATCGAAACCAAGATAGATACTGATACCACCACAACGATAACAATCTTCACAACATCCACTATTTCCACACTTAAGTTCGTCACCTGGCCAACAGCATCATCATTAATGACGTCAACACAACCAGTAGTGTGGCTACCACCAGCACCGGAAAATCTACACCCACAGTGTCAACACATATCAGCACGACCAACATTGCTTTTACCAGTGCAGTCACATTGACCACACCGTTCATTGGATCCACAATACCAAAGGAGATAATCTTCATCGCTGATCAACATATTCCAAGTATGCTGTAACTTGTCATTCCATCTGTTTTTGTATTTACGTCCACGTCTACAATGCACATTTTCTATTCTACTGACGTGGTTCATAGTTCCGTTCTTGGGATTTCTAATACGTATTTATTTGCTGACTCCGATATTTTCTCGCCGCTTTGTTTTGATGTCTCATCAGTTGATGATTCCTCATTTTCGAGCTCTGTCTTCTCCTATCTTATTCTTAGAGAGTTTCTAGTATAATTTTTATACCTACTATTAACATTGCTAGACCTTTTATTAATCATTTCATTTTGTTTATTTTTCAGGCGATGTTTCTCCATATAATTCAGGTATGTTTTATATTTTGGTTCATAGTCTAAATCTCCTTTATATTTTCACAGAATATCTTTTTACTTCACTTTGATCATTTCTACTATTCTCGATAATTTTTTTGAGTTTACTAATTAATCTCATACTGAATATAGCGCCTAAATTTTGCAACTAATATATCATTTTGCTTTATTAAGGTAACCTACATTCTTTGGCGAAAAACCAGCACTTGTGAATATCAAATCAGTATTATTTTCATGTGTTAAGTTGACCTGGTTGTTGTTTCTTTGTCATCTTGACGGCAAATGACAAGTTTGCAAAAGACGCTTGATTATAGCACTTCTTATTGTTGATGTATAAATGGAGTAATTTATGCCAAAAGCAGCTTCTATCGCGCAAGAAACTTTCTGGAGTCTATTAAGTCTGCAGTTCGTCAAGTACTTTGTGAAACATTTTTTCTCCTCATACCTCAGAACCTCCATATTCAGTATGAAGTCAGCAACTGAAAATTTATATTAATGATTAGTTATTATATTTTAGTAATAATCAGGCAATTAAAGGAAAAGTTCCTCAGAATAATTACTCAAATGTTGGAACCAACCTCAATTCTATCGCGTGAGATCGCACGTTTTACTCTATCAAATTAAGTGAAACATTCACCATATGTTTACTATAAGTGAAGATTTATTCATTCAGGCCAGAAAAAAGTTTTACTGAGAAACTAATGATGAAGAAATGGCAGTCAGACATCATGAGATGTTAAAATATGGTCTGTGGAAGGGAGAAATATATATGGAGTATAAATGACGCTCTTCGTAACTTTCATAATACTTTTAACGTACTTTTATAGAAATTGTGTATACTTTCTACTTATTCATCTAATTTAAACTTCGTTATTAAAAGAGGAGTATGGTAAAATGTTAAACCATAAAACAATAAAATACTTTTAAAATTAAGGTGGATGAAAACTTATAATCGATTAATTGTTCAATGGACATTAGGTCATAGAGTAGCATAATATATTTCATACCTAAGTTCAATACACTCTTAGTCTAAGTTTCATTGAGTTTCAGTGATCAGATGAACTCACTGAGAGTAATCAAAAACAGGTAATACAAATTTAGGTTTGTCTACCAGTAAGTGATTCTCCATTACGCAATAGTTTTGAAAATTTTATGTGGTTTGCTTCGGGTGTTACCATTAACATAATTATTTGATTAATTTTATTGATGTCGGGAATCGAATTCTTTCAATATATCTGATTGTACCAATATCATATCGCAAATTGTGCCACGACACATTTGCTGCAAGGTTTTGGTTGATGATGATTGACTGACAAGGTGATCTAATCTAGTTTATTACACCGTCATATAATAATGAAGAGACACATTAATGTGATGACAAACTGGCTGGTGAAATATGTTTAATTTAGGTCGTATACAGAAATATGTTGAATGCAAAGGCGAATCTACAGAAGCGATTAGAAAATTGGAAATCATTAGAAACAGACCTGATGTGAGCAGTAGATTATGTGAAGTGACCTGATTGAGGCATTCGGTGATTTGACCTTCTATTCACTCCAAATTGTTTACTCCTGAATTCACGTTTTCATCATTTGTGTGCTTATCTAAATTCAAGTTCCTTTCTCCAATGTTTTGTGTTTGTGTTTCTGCTTGTCTATCTGCATTGCATGTAACCAAACTCCATGTGTTCTTTTAATGAAAATTTTCTTCGTTATCTACTTAAATGTTTTATAGAAGGCAACCTCACGAAAACAGTAGTAATCGGTAAGTCAAAATATGATATAGCAGTTTGTTTTGTCACACCAATTTATTTTCCTTATTGATTGTTTTGATTCTCCTTTCCATTTCATTCATCAATATGTGGTCACATTGCATTACATAAACGGTTGGGTGAATTGTTCCTCTTGGAAATTCAGTGTAGCGAAGAGATGTCACATATAGTACGCTCATATATTGAAATTATTTGTCAATCAGTATTTATTGTTGAGTTTCTCAGGGTCGTCTGGTCGCGTTGGCCACTATCTACGTTAAACCGGAATGATTCATAATCTTTCCAAGTGGAACAATTTAATTGTATTCGTATAAAAGCCAACAAGTACTGAAATTTACTGTAACTGTGGAAGTCACGTTATATTTGTTTGCTGAGCGTCACTTCACTCACAATATTGTTACACTTATTAACCAATGTGTGTGGGTAGACATTACTACTTGGTGCAGAATTCTTTATTTTCATAACAAACCAAGAGCATATAGCATTCAGTGTGCATGGATGTGGGAAATCAAACAACCATTTACTTCATAGTGTCCATCACTTTGATAGATCATAATCGAATACACTTGGATTTGTGGTGTGGAGTTGAAGAGAGGTCGTTCAGTTTTGTTTTGTTGTGCAACAGTAAGTCAACTCAATATTCTCCTTTCACTGAGAAGTCGGATTTAAATCAACGAACTTTGACTTGTTGGAAACTATTTAATTTCTTTTGTAGCAGTCTCATCAATGCTGACTAGATTGAACAAGTCTTTGGAGTGGAATGACAGTTTATTGGATCCTAGTTCCGATTTATATCGAAATTATTCAGCTGAAATTTGTAATTTGGTAAGTTTGTTACCGAGTTCTCAATTGAATTTACATAAAAATGAGGAAAACTGATTAAATGTATAGACAACCTGTGTCTTTTGATAAAGGGTTGAAGTTTGACATTTGAAGACGGTTTTTGGAAATATATGTAGCTATTTAATAGCTATTTATAGAAGACAGAGTACTATTTAACTGTTTTCTCCAACTGTGACGAATAGTACCTGTAGAAATTCAAGATGTTGTTTGGGTAGATTCCATGATCATTGTTTTATGCAATTATGGATTTAACTCGTCGTGGTTAATGGTGTCCGTTCTTCACCATTTACCATGTAGATCATATCTCGTTTTACTCTACACAAACTGATGCAGTCTCAAAACACTCTATGGTCTCCAATCACTATATTGTTGCAATCAAATAAAGGCGAATGTGCTTGTTTCGTTTGATTATGCATAGCATAATTACCAGAAGTGGTCAACATGCACGGGCACGATCCTGTAATGGATCAGTCGTTTTGATATTGTAAGTAGTGACAACTGAGGTTACCCAGTCGATAAATATATTTGCTAATCCACGAGTTTGGAAAACCAATTTGTTCTCCTTCCACGTGAATGTAAAACTTCGGTGCTATAAAACTCCACCAAACTACTTGTTCGACATTCATACAACAATGATTTATGCCGATGAGCTAATTTCATCTAACCTAACATGAATGGCACCATGGGGTAGCCTCACTGAGCTAAGTGGCAGTATAGCACCATCTGTCTGATGTTATACATTGTGATGTCGCATTAACTATCAATTGCGACTAACTCATTTATTCATTCATTACTGACTATTCCATTGAAAAGCCACCGCTCACACTTCTGTGGCTTGAGATGCTGATTGATATCATGTGCTAAGGTTACCAATCGGAATTCTAACTCTAATTTCTTTTCCATTCCGTGTTTACTATTTCCTCCATGACCCAGTGTCCAAGCAATGACCAACCACAGGCATGACCCTCACCGTCCACCTTGTGGCGATGCAAGCCAAGCTCCTATTTTTCCGCTACTCGTAAGTCCTTCTTTGCCTTCAAACTTGAGTCAAAGAGAGAAGTCAACAGACGGCCTCTATCATTCTTATACTTCAGGCATACGTGGACTCATACACAGTCGTGCTGGACCACATCGCACCACTGAGTGAAAAATCACAAGCATACATAGACAAGCCGAAAGTGTTTGTGAATAATGCAAGCCGTAAGTAGTAGACTGGCAAAAATCTGGGAGTGGAGAGTTGTCTATCAGTGGTTAACGGGTTAACCAAAAGCTTGTGGTTAACGTATTATATAGACACAGTAATCCAGTTGCTTAGTAATTATATAAGAAAAACATAGTTGATAGCAATAACAATATTCATGATAACGATTCGAAAACCATTTTCCAAATTTCCAACTTTTACAATATTCATCCCGTTATAACACGCACGATTTTCTTCTCACAAAATCTTCAAGCTTTTGGACAGCATATATTCAACTTATATTGAGGGAATAATCAATGTCAATTGCACAGTTGTTGGCTTCTCGCGTGGATCAGTTGTTGGAAATGCAGTATTAGTCATCGACCATAGTAGCACAAGTGGGAATTTCTCATCGACTGAAGTGACAAAAGACACTGTTCGAAATGCTGTTGTGGCATACATAGCAGAAATGGTTGCCAACGATTCGGAGCAAGTGTACTTCGATACATCAAGTGGCTTGACAGTAGAAAGTGAGTGTATGTGATATTTTCGAGCTATATTGAAATTGAATTTTGTGTTTAACGTCGGTTGAATAAACCAGTTTATCCTGCGAGTTGAGCGCCACGTTCTCAATGCATCTTGGAAGTTGATGATAGGGGAATCCGACACCGGAAGCGAACGTTGTAGGATTCAACTGATTATTTCTCACGTTAAATATCACCTGCATAACAATTAGCATGCATGTATGATGTGATCATCTATTAGATGCTCTTAAATTTAGTTCATGAAACTGTTTGGTCCTATTTCAAATTTGTTGTTCTAGAGAGACAATAGAAATCTGTCTTATCCTCAGTCACTTGTATAGGACTTTTCCATATATGCTGTTTGATATAGAATTCCGTTTACATTTTAAAGAGTCTTACAGTTGGTGAGATCACAACACACGACGAAATGGAATGTTCAGTGTTCGATCAACGAGGAAATGGAATTGTTCACAAGTTTGAAAAACAACTCCATCACTTGCAAACCATCTGCAGCGAAAGTGTCTCGACTTCATTTACTGTCAAATACCTAGTCGCCTGCTATGGCTAGCAGCTAATCATAATCAGGATTAATTGTCATGTATACTCAGCTTTTTGTGACGTAAATAGATACACGTTTCTCATTGTATTTTCAGCTGTAATCCATGTGGCAACCACTGAGGTGATCACTGAATCTCAGAATACCGAAGATAACAAGACTACGGGTAAGTAAGTGGTTTGCAATTTTTTCACTGAGTCTATAATATACGCGAGAACTTATGTCTTAAGATTGCAAATTGTATGAGTAAAATACTCTGAATATTCACTTTTGTGAGTTGATTCTTCGACCAGTAATTTTGACTGAAGTATTATTGAGATAATCTTCCTCAGATAAAAGAATATGGAGTGACAGTAAATTAGTTAGAAAAATCCGAAATATTATATATCAGTATTCGCGACAACGCAGAAATGTTTGAAGTATGTGTAAGGTCCCCATATGACATAAAATTAAAGATGTCACGAGTAATCAGGGTGTCGGAATGTAAGGCAGTACATTTAAAAAAGTAGATAAGAACGATTGATAAATCGAATAGTTATATTAAGAACGAATTAAGATGATGTGTATGTATGAAAACACATAGTGAAAGCAGCGAGTTATGCTTCACGTGGAAGAAATTAACAAACGCTAAATTACTTCAAGTAGATAAACGACATTTCGGGCAGTAATGGAAATTCATCCATAATCAAGTTCGCGTTCCTCATTATCTGCTTTTATGTCGAAAGTACAAGGAGATTGCTTCAAATGTAAAATCAGAAATAGTGAGGATCAACAACCAAAGAATAAAAACAAATGGTAAATAGTAGAACAATCACTGAATTGACGAAACATCAATTGAAAATGAAAATGTGACCGTGTGATTTACATGTAAGGAAGAAACTGTAGATAGAAACATCGAGAGAAAATGAAGTTCGATAAATCGCTGAACTATTTTGAAAACATTAACAATTCTGAAGGTGAATAAAAGTGTACTGAATTCAAAGACACGAAAATTTGCGAAAACATAGAAACAAGAAAACAGAAACATGAAAGAAACGAACTGACAAATCAGAGAAAAATTAAAACAAGAAAAAGAGCGAAAGTACAGCAAAATAAAAAAGATAAAAATAATCAAATCACAAAAGACAAGAAAGTACGCATTCGTGAAAATGTCGTTCCAAAGAATTATTGTGTGATCGTATGGAGGTATGATTCAAAGATGGAGTGATTGATGGATTGATTGATGGAATGATTGATTGATTGATTGATTGATTGATTGATTGATTAATTATTGGTGTTGGATTTCGTCCATTGTAGCTGAGAACACTACTGGCACGAACGAAGTGACGACGGAGACCGAGATTACGGAGACCGACACTACGGGAACTGAGGTTATGTTGACGGAGATTTCAACAAGTGAGTGTGTTAGTTGATTGTGTGTATGCAATGTACGCAGTGTTGTTTGTGTGAGATGTGTTTGAGTTAGTTGTGCACAGAACTGATACTAGTGGTGATTTGGTGGATTGCATGTAGTGCACTCGATTGGATGGATGTGAACTAATTTGTGTTCGTGTGTGTGTGTGTGTTGGAGAGATACTGTGGGATTGTCTGATTTATTGATTGGTTGATTGATTGACTGATTGAGTCAGTGAGTGCGTGAGTGAGTGAGTGAGTGTGTTTATTATCAGTATTATTATCACCCTGTATAAATAAGTATATATATTTGCGATTGTACAGCTATGAAAATGAATTCGCCGAAAAGAGAACTCTTCGCTGAACTAATCTTTCTTTCTTATTTAATGTCATAATGGGTGTATTCCGTTTATTAAAAAATTCCAAGGACCCTTCGACAGTAAAGGAACTTAATGAGTTTCTGCGTTTTTCTGTCAAACTTGCGGAAGTGAATGCGAAGATTACCTTTCTTAACGATTGCGTTAAAATGCACAAATATCCTAAATACTACTGGAAAATTCTTCGAAGAAACCATATTTATCCAAACTCGAAATCTCTTAAACGCCATGCACAAAATGTTATTGACTCTATTCGTCCTCGCATTCCGTTATTGGAATTCAACATTTCACAAAGATCTCCTGTATTTTATGAATTATCACCTAACGAACACAATCTTTTCACCGATTATGTTACCACAGTTATCAACAAACGCACAAAAAACTTAATATCAGATCTCACTAAAAGTTTAAAAACTACAGAAACACAGCACAACTTTCCTAACAACCCTGAGAGATATGTGTTTAATCATTCTTCAATATCGTTGACAAATGTACAATTAGAAGCCTTATCTTTGGGGATAAAATTCTGCGACATAAATGAAAAAGTTAACAAAATCAACACACATGTTCAATTCGAAAACTTAATCAAACAAACAAATGGTCTTAATCCAATCTCTGATCAAGAATTCCAACGTTTCAAATCTACTCTTCTTGACAGCTGCAACCAATATATTAGCACAAAAGTAACAGGCAAAAGTCTACTAACAAAAGAACATAGAAATCAGATTAAACTACTTAGAAATAATAAAGACTTGATCATAACACGTCCAGATAAAGGTGCTGGTTTAGTGCTGCTAGATCGCAAGGATTATGTTGAAAAAATGGCAACGTTGTTATCAGATGACACCAAATTCTCAAAACCCAACAATGAGAAAAACAAGACTGAAATTATAGAAAAGCAACTAATTGACGTCCTTAAGAAAATGAAAAAAGAGCAGTTAATCAACGAACAGGTATTTGAGCACATAAGACCAACAGCATCGATAATACCGCGATTATACGGTTTGCCAAAAATACACAAATCTGGCCTACCTCTTAGACCGATTCTCGATATGTCTGGATCCCCTTACCACCCTATAGCAAAGTGGTTGGCGAATCTCTTAGAACCCGTTAGAAAACTCATTTGTAAACATTCTGTACGCGATACTTTTGAATTTATCGAGCACATAAAAGAAGTGAATGTAAGTGGCAAAATTATGCTATCTCTGGATGTGGAATCATTATTCACTAATGTCCCACTTACAGAAACCATTAATTTTATCTGCAAGTACATAAACAATACTGAGATAAACATTGGGATACCTGAGGTTTATTTGAAGGAATTATTACTACGTTGTACTTGCAATGTACAGTTCACATTCAACGACGTAATTTATAGACAGAAGGATGGTATAGCAATGGGATCCCCACTTGGTCCATTACTGGCAGATTGCTTCATGGCCAGTTTAGAAAACAACCAACTTAAAAGAATTATAGAAAACCTCCACTTATATAAAAGGTATATGGATGATATCTTTATCATTTGTGATAACAAATGTAACTTAAGTGATCTCCTAAATACATTTAATAATTGTCACCCATCAATAAAATTCACAATTGAAGTTGAAAGCAAACAAAATATTCACTTCCTTGATGTAGATATAACAAGGAAACAAGATGGTACTTTAAAAAGATCTATCTACAGGAAACCCATATGGAATGGCCAACTATCAAATTTCCACAGTTGGGTTCCCATCAGCCGAAAAAGAAACTTAATAATCACTCTCGCCACAAGAATACGAAGAATCTGTAGCCCTGAGGTCGTAGAGGAAGAATTGAGTTTTTTAAAGGAGATACTTATCAAAAATGGATATCCTTCTATATTCATTGATAAGAACATGAAACCGAAAATGCCAAGACCACAAACCACTGCAGTAGAAAAGAAAATTTTATACATGAACATCGACTTCAAAGGTGATAGAGCCGCACATATCTTAAAGAGGAGAATTTCAGATTCTTTAAAAAGAACATTTTTCGCAGCAACATTGCGAATATTATTCTCCAGCCGATCACTGTTCGCCAATAATCTGAAAGATAAATTATCGCATCTGACCAATTCAATGTGCATTTACCAATTTACCTGCTCTTGTGGAGCTAGGTATATAGGTCGTTCGATGCGTACTTTATCCAAAAGAATTCAAGAACATTGTCCGGCGTGGCTAAGAAGAGGAGGCAGCGGTTCAATAAGAAGTTCTATAATCGAACACCTTGTGAACACAGGTCACTCAATCAAGACAGACTCTGCGTTCAAAGTCATCTACAAGGTAAGTAGAAACATTCCTAAGAAAATTAGACTACATCTCC